GTGCGACCGGAATTTAAACACGTTTTGATAGAATTGCTATGACATCACCGGAGTCCGTTGCACTTCTCGGGCTTATATTCGATCTAAGAAACGACGAGTGCATAATGCGAACGTCCGTCGATGCGTGATTGCGGATTCTGTCGTTTTGACAATTAACGCCACACCTAAGTCACGCAATTTATTTATCACAAACACTACAGGCACGTATATATCTGTGGCGTACGCACCAGAATATTCCGTGTAGCTTGGCTGTGATTATCTGTAACTTTGTCTTGTATGTATACGATTCCCCATCGGAGATCGCACAATCAAGTGTATAGAAACATTAGAAACGTAGGAAGGCGATAATTTCCGGGCGAAACATCTTTATGAGACCTCCTTCTCATAACATTGAGCAGATTTACGCGTAGAACGTGCTGCGGCAAAAAGTTGTATTCATGCCGTTTTGTCTGAGAGGAAACGCAACTTGCAAAATGGAAGAATATTCTGTTGCATCTGATGTGTCAGTAGTAGATGTGTACGATATTGCATCGGAGATAGGGAAGGAATGCGAAAAGCTCATAGATCTGTTTGGGGTGGAGTCAGTAACCAATTTAATGCCAAAGGTAATAAACGCTTTAGAGCTACTTGAGAATCTTGCTACTAAGAATGAGCGTGAAAATACTATGGTGCAAGAGCTGAGTGCTAAGATCTCTCAACTTGAGAGCGATAAAATTGGAAAGGCTGAAGATAGGCAACGATTTGAAAAGGTAGTTAATGGTTTAACTTTTATATAACAATCTTAATACGATTTGTAATTCATGATCGTATATTTGATACACAGTTATGTATTGTCAACTTTAATTCTTTTAGGAATTGGAACAAATTGAAGAACACTGGAGACAAGAATCACGTGATTTAGTAGCAATGGTTACTAGATTACAAGAAGAAAATAGACGATTAGCCGAATCTCTACATGAATCACGTAGTGATAGTCAGTACAGCAGTAAACAAACAAGTACTAACACCAATTAACCAGTCACTAATCCAATAATTATTAAAAAGTTCTGTTAAACATACAAACATACGTTTGGCAGAACATTGTATAAATTGTATAAAAAAAAACAAAATAATGAAATAACTGTTTCGTTAATTTTTAGCTATCACAGCTAGTCAGGAGGTTGATATAGCAGTTCTACAACATTTGAGGTCTATGATAGATAAACAACGAGAGCAGATCCGTGCTAGAGATCGAGAATTGTCACAAAAAACCACAGAAATTGAAAATGTAAATTGGTATTTATATGTACATATGCACAATTCGATGATTTTTTTTTTAATAGACATAAGATATGTATATTTTTAATATAAATATATATATCTTATGTCTATTATACTTGGAATATATTTCCAAGTACTTTAAAATTATTAAAGATTTAAAGAGAAAATTTCGTTTTAAAATTATGTTTTAACATGAAAATTCATATGATTTTATAAGCTGTACATAATAATACAACGTGTTGTATATAGTTGAGTGCACAAGTGGAGAAACTTACCGTACTGGGACGGGAATTGAAACGTAAACAACGACAAGCGCAAATGCAAGCTCGAGGTTTAGTAGAAGAAAGAGCTGACTTTTTAGCACAACTGCAGGATCAGAATCGGGAACTTATAAATCTTCGAGGAAGGCTTGGCATGGCTAAGAAGGAAAATGAGGATTTGAGTAAATTACAAGGCTGTCCTGATTTGACGAACAAAGCAATCTATGACTTGGATGATCCTGATAGGCCCAGATTCACGACTGCCGAACTAAAAGAAATTTTACACGAGCGAAATGAATTGAAAGCAAGAGTTTCGGATCTCGAAGACGAATTAGAATTATATAGACCAAAACCTGAAATGTAAGTCATTGAATAATAAATAATATATAAATTATATAAAATATTCATATAATTTCATGTTGTTTCAGTCCTGAGGATGACAAAGATGCACCCGTGCAGGGGCCGCTTCCTTATGAACCAGATGATGCACCATGGAAAAAATCCTCTGAATCTGGAATTCGTAAATTGTATGTGTTTATTATTTTCGTTTCTTCATATTTATGTGTAACATGTATCTGAAGTATTTTAAAATTTTATTTTAGCTTCCGAAAAATATTCTCTGAGTCTAGCAGCAGCTTTCTCGGAGGTAGTAGTCCCAGACGAAGTCTTTCTAGTCTTTCAAAAATGGCTCTATCTGGTAACAGTACCTGTGATACATCTATATAATGCTTTTTTAAAAATACGTTGGATAATTTTAAGTAATTAGAACTTGTCGAGGACGACAACCAAGGATGACGTGGCTTAGGACTAGACTTTTTATTTACGTAACAACATTCTCTGACTGCTCGATATACATACAATTTTACATCAGATATTTTAACGTAGAGATAGCAATTCCTATAAGAAAGATAGTTGATATTGCTGAGACCTGGTTCATAATAGATGTGCATGCAATGAGCGAATAGAGGAAATACTAAATTTGTATAAACTTATAATACAACAAAAGAAACTTGTGTGCATGTACATAATTGTATAGATGTAAAAAAAAAGACAATGTGTATTTAGCTGCACGATCTTAGTACATCATAATATTTCTCATTTTTTCCATTTACTCTCTTTAGACGGTGAATTCATTGAAATTAATAGATACGTAGGATATTCGTAATGTATGTAAGAAAAAGATAGTGATCAAATAGAAAAAAATATTATAGTTTTTTTCAAAATTAGGTGCGTGTAGTTTGAAATGTACATTGATCTAATTATGTCTAATGTGAAACAGGTCTCGTTTTTTTTCTATATATATATATATATATATGAATTTATTCCAGATATAAAGAAAGAAAATAAGAAATTTATTGCGAAAAATATTACCTCAGCCAGGATTCGAACCTAGGACCTCTCAACTTTCCGGGAAGAGTGTTGCCTGAGTAGTTGAGACCAAGACGACAAACTGAGACCAAGACACTCTTCCCGGAAAGTTGAGAGATTCGAATCCTGGCTGAGATAATATTTTTCGCAATAAATTTCTTTCTTCCTTTCTTTCTAATTTAATTTAATAAATAAAGAAGGGATTAGTAGCATTTCAGAATGATTATGTTGAACTGAATGTTATCGGCTCGTAATTATATCTGGAATAAATTGATTTAACAAAAAAATATATAATTTTATTTGTAACATCCAAAATTTGACCGATCT